CAGGAATGAATTTTGAAATTTGGGCCCAGATTTGGCTCTTGAACTGGCATCCTCCAGTCTTTCCCTGGAGTAGAAGTGGGGTGTGTATTGGATTTAGGGTTTCTGTTTGGCTTGGTTCAAGAGAAACCACTGCAAAAGTAAAGGGAGATAGAGAACATTTTGGAGAATGGGAAAATATAATAAAGGACCCAGTGCAAAGGACTCCCTGCCTAATGGAAAGGCAGCTCTCACTAAGAACTGTGCTTCTGCCTAATAAAAGAAAGACCCAGCTGAGTGCTGGTCATCCCTTGAAACAGGTCTCTGAATGAGCTTGTTGCCTCCTGGCTACACAGGTCACATCACCCTGCATGGCAGCCCTCACATTCACACTCTGGTGCAAACTCCCGCTGCTCTCCCTGTAGCAGTTCTCAGGGTGGGAGAGGTGGTGTCCCCTGTTCCTGATGTCCCCTTTTTATCATACAGAGAGCTGTGCTTTCTCCTTTTCCCTCATCTGAAGTAGATAAGGATCAAGCAGGAAGCAAAGGCTCATCTCAGTTCCCCGGGCCTTTTTCTTTTCAGAAAGCCTGTTGTCTTGGACAATGCTCAGAACAACAGGTAAGATGCTTTTCCTCCCAACACTTCAGACCCTGCTCCTGCGATGCTGGGGGCTGACAAGTTAGCAATGGTTACAATGCCGAAGGCAGAGAAACAGGCATGTGCTGAGGTAGTATAGGTCTCAGGTATTCACAGGATTTTGCAGACTAAATTGCAAGACTTGAAAGAGGAGAGAGGTGTAGGCTGAGAGATGCATGGCTTGTGTGACCAGGAGAAGGTCACAGTGAGAGAATTGAAGGGAACAATCCAGCAAAGGCAGCCACTGAACAGAAGCAGGGAGGAAACCTGAGATCTTGTTCAGAAAAAGGACAGCTCAGCCCACTGGAGTTTTTGGAGTGGGGATGTTCCTCAGTGCTCTGACTGCAGTGGTAATGATAAACCCTTAGTAGCATGCTTCCTCATGCAGGCCTGTTCATTACCACAAACAGGACCAATTCCCCTCTTATTATCCTCGTAGTGCAGTTGAATAAACTGAAAAGGCCACCCATCTCAAAACTGGACAGAAAGAGAACCAGGTGTGGAGCCAGCATTTGCTGCTCCCTGCCAGTCTCACAGCAAGGAGCAGATATTTTTCCTCTTCTGACTCTTAGTACTTCCCAGAAAGCATCAGAGGTGCTTTATCTGGATGAGGTGAGACCCCAGTCACAGAGTTTCCCGGCCACAAAACCTCCCAGCATCACTAGTTCTACCACCCAACAGTGCCGAGCTCCTGCTAGATGATCGCAGGCCCTCTGAGGAGAGACTGAAATGAAAGGGCTGCTGATATTAAGGGGGAAACACATTGTTGGGAAATGCATTGAGAGGTGCCAGATAGGGAGTGGGAATGGTGAAGTTCCTGCAGAGTGGGGATGGAGGGACATGAAGGATGGGGTGCTTGCTGGTGCAGCCAGGGGCAGAGTGGGCTGGCAACTCCTTTACAGTGCAGGGAGGAGGGGAAGAGGTTTCCACACTTACTCCAGGACGTCCCTGTTGAACTGCTTCTTGCTGTTGCCCAGGAACTCCCCAATCATCTGGCGGCTGAGGCCCTTCCGCTGGAGCAAGAAGTGTGCCACCCCAATGGGGGTGTCCGGGATGAAGCCTCTGGAGATCAGGAACTGGATCCCTTTGTCTGGGTTTCTGAAAGGGAAGGACAGAGACATGGTGAGCTTGCATGATCTCTTTGAGGCATTATTGCCTCTGGCTCACCTCATGGCTTGCAGCAATGCAGCACGCAGTATGTGCATGAGCTCCTATGAGTTCATGTGTGTGGCAGGGATAGGACTGGTGCAAGCAGGGAAAAGTGACTTGGGGGAGTCCCCCTCCAGTTGCCTCTGAGGACAAAAGGATGCCACAGGACCTGCTGTGTCACTTGCAGCACCTGCTGTCATCTGGGGATCACAAGTGCCATCCCAGTGCTACAAAGGATCCTGCTGCTCGATACCATCCTCATCAGTGACTCTCTTCTGCCATCCGTCTGCTCCAGAATCAAAGGCTCTTGTATCCTACCTGCTCCAGCTTGGTTTGTTTAGGGACCCTGTGAGGACGTGATAAGACTGTGTGTCCCACACAGGCAGCACAGGAAATATCAGTACGTTCAGCTGCTCCAAATGCAACTCACAGAGCTGTCCCCAAGGACCAGGGGTGAGAGCTGGGCACGTGACCCTTTGCTTTACGGGGACTGGGGTTGCACCTTTGGTGGGGCAGACAAAGGCAAAGGGAAAAACGTGGCTCCAAAGAGACTTAGGAGACATTGCTGCCACAATCTATGGGCAAATGAGGCTCAAGACACAAAGAGGGATAACCAAAGGTGTGCACTTTTTTCTGTAAAAAAAAATAATTCTCTTTTTCATACATATTTAGTGCTCAGTGTTGAGTGACACTTTCTACCTTCCTCACCTGAGCCTGGTGCTGGCTGCTTGAACAGAAATCCCATGCTCAGATTTGCTCATCTTCCTCCACTCCCCC